TTGCCTTACTGCATTGGCTTATACCTCCAGTGTGTGATGTGATAGCTTCTTTGTCATATTTCTGATCTCAAGGGAAGGTTTTGAGTATTTGAACAGTAAATTGAATATTCCCTGTAGGTTTTTGTAGATACCACTTATGACATTAGGAAAGGTTCCCTATTTTCCTAATTTGCTGTATATTTTTGTCCTGAAGGGAAGTTACGTTTTAACAATTGCTATTCAGATGATCATATGATTTTTATCTTTCATTCCGTGTTAAGTTACGTTGATTAAAGCAGTTTGACGTTCTTAGAACAAATCCAATTTGACTGTGATTTATCATCCCGTGTAAACACTACTGGATTTCAAGGTTGTTAATGTTTTGCTTAGTGTTTTTGCATCTATTTATGAGCAAAATTGGCCTATAATTATCCTCTTCCATGTTCTTTCAAGGTTCTTGATGTTTCTGAACATGGTTCTTACTAGTTTTGGACACGGTTTTTGTCTGTATGGACAGGTTCTTGCTGGTTTTAGACGCAACTTGTGCCAGGTTTTGCACATGGTCTTTCCCATCTTAGGCAAAGTCTTTGCTGGTTTGGGACACAGTTCACACCAGGTGTTGGGCATGGTCAGTATCAGAATTTGGAGCAATAAGACTTTGGGGGAGAAATTCCTCATTTGGTTCTGTGGACAAGTTTGTGTAAGATTGGTTTTCGTTGCTCTTGACAGTTTGGGTACAACTTACCAGTGGGGCCGACAGGCATGGACATTTGTTTGCGACAAGGATTTTAGTTTTAATTTTGTTTGTAATAATTAAACAGTTCAGAGATTTTTTCTTATGTTAGTTTTGGTAATTTGTATATTTCTAGACTAATATCCATTTCATGTATATTTAAAAATATTGTATATAATGTCCTCAAATGGTCTTTCTAATGTGCACAAGATTGCTCATCATGCCCTGTTCTTATTCCTGATACAGACCAGTTGCTGTTCCTGTCTTTTCTTTACTCAATCTGATCAGATCAGTAGTTTAAAGGACCAACTTTGGTCTTTGCTGTTTCTATTATTTTATATTTCATTATTTTCTCCTCTTTCTTTTTCAATTCCCTTGTTTCTACTCCAGGTTTTGTCTTCTATGCTTTATTATAATTTCTTGAGATGAATGCTCAGACCACTGCGTTCTGTCGTCTTTATCTCCAGTGTGTGCATTTCGGCCTGAGCATTTCCATCTGGGCAGATGTGAGCTACATCCAACTAGTTTTATGACTGAGCTCAAAATTTTCTCTACTTCCCATATGATTTCTTTTCTACCCAAGGGCTACTGCGAAGGCTTTTACTTAACCTCGGGGATTTTCCAGTTATTTTCTTTGTCATCGATTTCTAGCTTAATTACTCAGAGGTAAGAAAACAAATTATGTTTTGATCTTAAACCTCCCAACTACGTTGAGACTTGGTTAATTTTTGTAGACGTTCTGTGTACACCTGAAAGCGATGTGTCCTGAGGAGCGGCCAGTTTCTGTGTCGTACATCATGTGCTTCTGCGAGGTCAGACCTACTAACTGTGTGGTTCTAATCTGTTTCCTTACCAACATTTTATCTGCTTGTTCTGTTATTTACTAAGAAATACTTGTTAAACTTTACCATTGTTTGCATATTTGTTTATTTCTATCAACTTTGGCATAAATATTTTGAAGTCGTGTTATTAAGTGCACACAAATTCAGGAGTCTTCTGTCATCCTGGTGGGCTGGCCTGGCTGTCATTCCAAGAGCTGCTGCCTCCTCCGGATCTGACGTTAACAGATGCCCACCGTCTCTCTTCCCTATCACGTTTGTGTGAGATTTTCCCTGTGATTTTACTTTCAACCTCTCCTCACACTTTTGAGATTTACCTTTTACAAACTGCACATAGTTGGAATTTTCCTTTGTCCGATCTGTGAATACATTTGCTTTCACTTACAACAGTTAATATGAATCTATTTCACTTCACTGACACATTTGCATTTCTGTCGTCCTACAGAAAGAGAAATATACAGCCCTTCCCTTCCCTTCCTTTTCTCTTTTTTTGCATCTTTTGTATCGGTAACTTTATCATGGTGTTTTTTATCTATTATCTGAAAACATTTACATTTTTATGACTTTCAGTGATTTTTCAAAGACCTTATAACAAGTATCTTCATCTTACCAAAGGACGACATTAATTTGCGTTTTTCCATCATCTTCCAGCACAACGCAAGCAACTCACATCTCTCTGACCCATTTATCTTTTCCCAAAGTCTGTGCAACTCCTGTCGTGACGGAGCTGCCCGCGTCACCTCCCGTGAGAGGTGGCTCTCGTCACGCGTCCCCCTGTCCCAGCCTCCTTCCTCTGAATCACTTTCACCTCCGCTCAGCTTATTTTTGTCTGAAGAACACACCTGGTGACGGATTCTCTCAGCTTCCGTTTGTTTGCAAATGTCTTTATTCCACTTCTGGGAGGACGGCGTTACTGGTGACAAAATTCTACTTTCTTTGGCGCCTTGGCACGGTCACTCCGCCATCTTGTCGTCTCCACGGTGCCCAGGGAAGCCGGCTCTGCGCCGCATTTTGTTCCCTCAGGCTGCAAGCTCTGTTGTTTCTTCTGATTTTCAACATTTCTTCTTTGTCTTTTGGTTTTACCTATTTTCCCATGAAGCACTCATTTTCCTTAATTTATTAAGGAAATTTATTTTTTCCTTAAAATATTTTCCTTCTATTTGCTTTGTTTGGAGTTCATGGGGCTTCTCGAATCTATACCCAGATATCTGCTGCCAGTTGGAATATTTTCTGCCAGTATATTTTCAAATATTGCTTCTGCTCCATTTTATCTCCCCCCTCATGCTCCGAACACAGACGTCAGACCTTCTTACTGCTCCACAGTCTCCGGTCCTTTCTCCTGCATTTTCCTCCCGCATAGCTCTTTACTTGTAGAACATGAATATTTCCTTTGATATCCTCTGTTTCACTAATTCTCTCTTCAACTATGACTAATCTTCAGACATATCTATCCATTGAGCTCTTAACTTTGCTATATATTCTAGTTCTAAGTTGCCCAATTATATCTTTTTTGTATCTTCTACTTCTCTCTCAAAATCTTATAATTTGCTTAAACACAGTAAGCACAGTTATTATAAAATCTATGTTTTATATCTCCATTACCTGGAGCCTCTGCAAGTCTTTTCTTATCATGTGCTGTTCCTCTTGCTCTTTACTTATATTGTCTTATCCTGTCCCCCGCAGGTGCCTGTCATGAGGCCGAGTGCTGGACATTGTATATAAAAGACGACAGAACTCCAGGCCTGGTGTGATACCTTACACTGGAGGAGACGACATTTGCTTCTGGAAGGTGGCGAGGGACGCCAGCAACCTGGTATCACCTTAGGCCATTTACAGAAAGTGACACTATTTGAAGGTTGGTGTCAGTCCCTGTAAGGGCCCATCAACGAAGTGACGGAGTGTCCCACAGTGAGTCGGTCACCTAAGTCCCAGATAGACCATCCCTCCCTGCCACCTCCTCCCACACCTGTGCCACCCTACTGGGGCCCAGCGGCTGTGGCAAGCATGGGGCTGTGCCCGGCTGCACGAGGCCAATGTCAGCAGTAAGAGCTACTATTTTCACCTCCTTGCCTCGCATGACCTCACAGGATGTTTTTAACGACCTCAGGACAGGATGTATGTAGTGTGGATTGTCCCCAACACCCAGCTGGTCAGTTGGAGAGGACTCGATTTGAGCCCACGGCAGGGATGGCTGGCTCCCCTGCGGGGCCGGGCGCAGCCATACCTAGAAAGCCAGCTTCGCTCCTTCCCCAAACGTCACTTCTCCCAGGCACAGGGGCTGCGGTCACATGGCTCAGCGTCCCTGTCTATGGCACGAGGCAGTGACAGCGCCCACTCCCAGGGATGTGGTGGGGGTCGGACGAGCTGACGGCACTGAGGGCAGGAGAGGGAGCCGCCGGCATGGAACGTGAGGGAGGGAGAGCGGGTCTCGCGGGCTGGGGAGACCCTGCCCACCACTGCCTGTAACGGTCATGTCTCATGGATGCAGGGGTGTGGCCCCACCGTGACCCCATGACCGGCTCCCCTGGGTGCTCTGAGCCCGGGGCATGGATTCAGTGTCCCCCTCTCTATGGGCTGGGCTCTGCCTGGACGTGGGGTCGCGGCTCACTCCCACTGGGGACTGTCTAATTGCAATCACAGCTGGCGTCTGCACCTTCCACAGAGGATCAGGGATTAATGGCATGAGAAATTGCTTCATTAACATGCCTAACAAAAGGTGTCATTGCGTGTTCGATGAGTGCTTTTATCTGAGGCCTTCGACAGGCTTTAAGGAGCTCTGCTCTCTGCTCACAAAGTGCAAAACTTCTCCCCTGCAATCAGGAACGCAGGGAGGGCTTGGCAGTCGCAGGCGTGAACAGGGACGTAGGTCCCGCCCCTCAGCACTGGGGCACAGCCTTTTGGAGGGAAGGGCCCCCACATGGGACAGGGCTCCCAGGGCCGCTTCCTGGCTGCCCCCAGGGCCTGCCTTGCTCACCAGGGTGTGGCTGGTGATGATGACGAGGGAAGGAGCGAGAAATGACACTCGCCTGTCTCAGAGTCTTCGGTACCCACAGGGTGGGGCTCACGGACCTGGGGGCCACTGCCCTTCGAGGCATGTTTTGATGCCTGGTTTAACACGCCCAGGGGGACGCTCAAGACCTCCCTCCCCCGCGGGTTCAGCTCATCACTGCTTTCTTTTTTCTAACACAAACCACCTCCACCGTAAGAGATAAAACACAGGTCCCTGTTTTTCCAAGGCGGGTTCCTTGGTGCACCTGTCTTGCAAGCTGTGCCATGAAGAAGGGCTCCTTGGCCAAACAGGTTTGGGGAAACTCGCAGCCCGTCTCCCACTCAGAGGCTCACAGAGCAGGGGAGGCTGTGGGCAGACCTGCCCGAGGGAATCTGTTCAGCTTTGCTAACCCTCGCCTCGCCGGGGCCTCTCCCGTGGAGCGCCAGGAAGGAGGCCCCACGCTGCCCTGCACAGAGCTCTCCTTTGCCTGTGCCCTTCCCTCGGCCACCAGGATGTGGCTGCCGCAGCGTGGGGACACGTGGAAGGTGAGCAGTCCCTGGTCCGTTGCCCGCCACGCACGAGAACCCTGACGTTCAGGACTGGGGGGACGAACACGGGTTGCTGGGGGGCTGGCCCTGGATTGCTGGAATATGCAGGGGTGGGGGACACGAGGCCACCCCTCTCCGTCCACCCAGGCAGGACGGCCGTGGGGCTAGAAGGAAGTCGGGGGGGGGGGCTGGGAGGTTGGATCGCAATGACTTTTATGTCTG